CCGCGTCCGCGCGCCCCCGGCAGGGCGCGGGGGGAAGCGCGGGCGGCGGGGAGCTCCCCGGCCAGCTCTAAGTAGTTTAGCACACAGCGCGGAGGGCTGCCGCCGGCGGGCTGGCGGGACACCCGGCAGGACAGACGAGAGACCGCGCGGCCACTCACCGTCGGCGCTGGGCTCCGCGCCCCGCGCCCGTCGAGGGACAGTCGGGGACGCACGGCGGGGGCTCATCGGGGCAGGGACCTTCTTCGCGGAGAGCAGAAGGACGGCACTGGCTCAAGCTGGAGACGCTTCTTTCTCTTCCTTTCCCCTCGCCGCCCTCGCCGCCTCCTGGGAAAAAGAAAAAAAAAAAAAGTCCTGGGCAGCAGTTGCTGGAAAGTCTCCGCTAAGCCACCTCCTCCCAGCGCCGCTGTCCCTCCCAAGTCCTCGCCAAGTCCGGACGAGGCAGCGGCGGCAGCCAGGGCCAGCTGCACAAACTCTCAGCGCATGCTCCAGCCGCTGGCGGCCGGGGTTGGGTCCTAGTGGGTGTTTCTCGTCCACCTCTCCCGGCCGAGAGTCCCCAAAGGGACGCCTCACCTCTAGGACACCAGGTCCAGAAAGAGAAAACGCCCAGGATCTTTGCAGAAGTCCACGCAGCAGACCCCTTTTTAAAATGGAGGTGTGGAAGGAATGGAGGCTGGGTCATAAGCATAGGGAAACAGGCTTTTATTATATGAAAATATTTGTGTTTGAGAAGGGGGGTGAAGGGGCTGGCCCAACCCAATTCCTGCAATGGGAAACTAGTTTTCACAACCTTTATGGAGCCACCTCCTGTGTTTTGTCATTAACGTGGTGCCCTATGATCCTTCTTATTGATTTGTTGCCCTCCCAGACTGTAAAAGGAAACATTCTTCCCCACTTTCACACTGCTCTAAGAGCATTTAGGGAAACATCAGAGTAATCGTGTTCAGTCTTACATCCAGAATAGACAGAAAGAATATTTTTTAACTCTTTCACAAGTAACTCAAACTTTCCAGAATGTTTCCCAATAAGACTGTTTTGAGTTTAAACTGGGTGATTAATTTTGAAATGTGCACATAGTAGTGGGTCTTTGGAAAACTGTATTTTTAAAAACTAGAAATTCAACATTAAAGTAACAGTAGGAGACTGCCCTCCTAAAAAGTATCTTCCCTTTGAAAAACAAGTTTAAAAATTTCTGGATTATATTCTTCACATAAGTTTGATGTTTCATGCCTCACAATAGTGTGCATTTTTATAATTAATTTTGTGTACATTATATGGCAAATACTTTACCAACAAATATTAATTACCTGAAATGCAAGTAATATCTTTGAGAAAACCAAACAACTTAAATTTCCTTGCAGCAAAAAAGAAAATTGGAGTCCTGTGTCTATCATTGCCTGTCTAGGGCCAGTTGTTACATGACCAGAGTGACAATGAGACCTGCAGTATCATTTGGGAAGAAGTAAAGTCAAGACTGAAAGACAACATGGGTGTCCTTAGTTAGGCTAGGAAAATTATTGGTAAGCAAGTCACTGAGTAACTAAGCAGTATCTAAGATAACAATGAAAAGGAGTATTAAGAATTATAGCTATGCAACCTGGATGAATTTAGGGTCTATAATACTGAGTGATCTGTCACAGAACTGAGTACCACATGTTCTCACTCATAAGCAGACCCTGAACATTTACCATCATACTATAAGAAAGGGATTGGCAGTAGTGGGATACTGCTAGAGTG